ACTGTATAGTTTATATTCTTCAAAGACATTTTTATTAGGGATTTGAGGACACATGGACCAAGCCCTGCGGCCGCTAAAGGACAATTGCCCTCTAATTATTCTAAATTTCCAGAAAAGATGAAGCTTCTCGTACAAGTCAGAGCTGGGATTCCTGTGCAGAGTCGTGCACAGATGGCTGCAGAGCCCACACAGCAGAAACACCGAGTTCCCTCAGGCAGCCACAGGCAGCGCTCCCAGCAGCAGTGGGTGGGCAGGAGCACACGGTTCAGAGGCTCCCAAAGCCTTCAAATGCAGGGCCAGACACCACCAGCCACGGGTTTCCCCTGGCTCACTTCCCCTAGTGAGCCAGTAAACTCAGGGCAAGGAATGAGAGTCCATTTTACCTGCTTGCCTTCCATAGCTACAGCAACATCTGGGACGTATTTTTTAATGTGTTAATATTTTAGGTTGTGCATGTGTCTGTGTGGGGGAATGTGCAGTTGCCCACGCAAGTAAGAGGCATTGGACCCCATGGAGCTGGATTATCGGTGGTTTTGAACCACCAGATAGACATGGGTGCTGGGAACTGAACTCCCAGTCCTAGGGAAAAGTAGCAAGTGTTTTTAACCACTGAACCATCTTTCGGGCCTCAGTTGGCCATAGCTGAGCATCCAGAAGAGATCACCTTAGTGAAAATCTACATACAAATAAGAGTTATAGTTAGAGTCAGTTGGAGAGTTGACAGGCAGGCAGGCAGAGCACAGCAGGTGCCGGAGAAACCAAGAAACCGCACCAACAGAGCACAGACAGGATGTTGTGATGCAGACGACTTGGATTTCTGACCAGCCTTTCCTTTATTCCAGAGGCAACTGTGAAAGGCCTTGTTGCCAGGAAAGGGGTCCATTGGCATCTTTTGGCCAAGGAATGCCTACAGCAGGATCTCAAGGACCCATCAAAGCCCATGTGGTACAAAAGATTGGTCCACAAGGAGATGGGTTGGGAGGTGGTAAGATCTGTAGGAGGTTAGGGAGGCCTATAGGACACTGACAGCACCACCCTGGAGCAGCATGCTACACGGTCTACACTTACTCTCTTCCCTTCTGCCCCCTCCCGTGAGCTGAGCAGTGTTGCTCTGCTGTGTGCCTGCAAGATGTGCAGCTGCCCCTCCAGTGCCTTCCTTCTCACCCTGGAGGTCTGTCCCTATATGGCAGCCACTGGAGGCCTGTCCCAGTACAGTAAGGCAGCCGCTGGAAGAGACTGTGACTTTGCTGCTGAAGTGTTTCCCTGCGGTCACCAATGTTGTGCCCCCACCCACTCCCACTGCTCTCTCCCGTCTGTGTCTGTATGTCTGTCTCTCTCCCCATTCATTTTCTACTTAGCCTGGGATGACCTAGAACAGAACCCACACTGGCTTTGCTTCTCTCCAGCCTCAGCCAACTGAATGCCAGAGTTAGCCGTATCACCACCACACACGGCTGCTTGCTTACTTGTTTGTGTGAAGACCTTCCAAAAGGGTGGGTTTACATTTTCTGTGAATTTTGACACACTTATGATGACTAGATTTCTAAAACCTTATATTTTAAGGCAGGTGTGAGATTTGAGCACTCAATCCTGGTACCCAGGAAGCTGACACAGGAGGATTGCTTTGTTTGAGTCATTCCTGGACTACCTGGAGAGTTCTAGATCTGTGAGACATCAGTGTGAGTCTACTCTCTCCTCCCTCTCTCCCTTCCTCTCTCTCCTCTTTCCCTTTCTCTCCCTCTCCCTGACTCTCTCTTCCTCTCTTTCTCTCTCTCTCTCTCTCTCTCTCTCTCTCTCTCTCTCTCTCTCTCTCTCACACACACACACACACACACACACACACACACACATATAAGAGTCCAAGAACAAGAATATAGAAATGTAGATTCCAGGAATAGGAATGTAGAAATAAACAAATATAAAGTTGTAAGCCTAGGAGGATAAGAGCAGGCTGTCAGCTGCTTTCTCAGCAGCTTAGGGATTAACTATTAACAGTGGGTTACTTTGCTTTACAGTCCATAGCTCTGTCTGCAAGGCTGTAGCGCCCCTCTGAAATCTGAGGGTCAGCTTTTAGATACCCTCCCCCCCCCCGGCCACTCATAACCAGCAATTGATCTGAGCTGAGTTAACTTTTAAATGATGGGATGTATCTGACTTTTTGGTTGTGCAATTTCCCATACCCTTCTCTGCTACACAAAACTGGCAGTATCAGGGGAGTGTAGAGCTTTGGTAAACACCATCAGATAGTGCCAGAAGAAACAATGGGCTAAATACAAACTCTAGTTTAACTAACCCCCCCCAAAAAGGCAATTTGTATCTGAGTTTTATCTTGAGATTGTAAAATTCCTTTGTTCATGCCTAATGCTTGCTTCTTGCTATAAAAGGGGAGTTCGAAAACTGCCCATTGCCACAGACTTACGAGTCCATCTTCGGTGTGGTCTCAACTCTCAACTAGCTGATAAGCTTTTTGTGCCCCATAGGGTTTTATTTTTTTAATTTTTTTCTGGAATAAAGTTTGCTTCTGGTGTAACAACCTTTGATGGTCTGTTCCTGTCTTCATGCGACTCCTGTGGACCCAACAATAAGCACCTACATACAAGCTTTGCACACGGCCTCACACTGCATCACTGTTCTTAGCTCCTAGGAAGAACTTGATGGGGTAAATACAGGTGCCTGCGCCAGCTATTCTGCCATTTCACCCGAGTAAAGAACAGAGCTTAGATTTATTGACTAGTCTCTTAGATTTATTGACTAGTCTCTTAGATTTATTGACTGCTCTCTGACCTTCTTAGACTGTCTTCTCTCATCTGATTTGAGCTACCTGGCTTTATTAGGACCCAATTTCTACCACTTCTTCCAAGAGGAATTCTCTGAGAAGCTGAAGAAGACTGCCACCTAGGCTTCTATTAAAAAACATCTCCAGAGAGCCAGGCCTGATGACACACACCTTTAATCCAAGCATGTAGGAGGCAGAGGCTGGTAAATCTTTGTGAGTTCAAGGCCAGCCTGCTCTACAGAGGGAGATCCAGGACAGCAAAGGCTACCTAGAGAGACCCCATCCCAAAAAATAAAAATTAAAAGCATCTCTGGGAAGGATGTCCTCACACTGTCCCTGCCATGATTCTGCTGGGCAGCCAGGTATAGCTGCAACAGCAGCGGAATACAGAAGCAGTGGTGAACCAAGGCTAATGTAGCCAAAGGAAGCGGGATGGGAAAGCCAGCAAGCTGCACCTTCTTGGTGATCTAATAGTGGAGAGGATGCAGGGATCTCACAGCCTAGACCGCTGTTCCCTCAGCAACGCCGGGGCAGTCATGGAGACGGCCAGCAGCATTCCCTCTGCAAAGTGTTTATCACTCTGTGAACACCACTGGGTATCAGCACTGTCAGCACCTGGCACCATGTTAGCTGGTGTGTCACCGATCTCCCCCACGTCCTCCCTGGCAGACAGCATATGAACAACCCACAGACCCATATGAGGCAACAGTTTCCTCAGAGTGGGGCTGTCCCTCCAAGGGGATGTAGGTGAGCTCTGGCTGCCTGAGGCCTGAATTCTCTGCCCACACAGTGAAGCACTTTGGCCAACCACCCAAAACTTTGCGAGACTAGGATACTCATTGACTCTCAGAAACTCAGTCCCAGAACCTTCGGAAATGTTCCAAGTGGGCAGACCAACCCAAGAACTCCCACTGAAAGTCACCGTATGAAGTGATAGTAAAACTCACGCCACGTGCTGCTGTGTAAGTGTAGGACTTCTGCCTGAGCAGGGCGGGATCTGCTGCCAGGCACTCTGCCGGCATTTACCGACTTTACGTGAGCAAAGCCCCGTGCCACAGCGCAGGCCCTGAGAAACGGAAAGGAAGTGTGAAGACCAGCCTCCTCCTGTCTGTTGCTATGGGAACAAGGAACAGAGAGGTTGCTAGAAAGGCAGCAGGTCCCAGCCTGCATTCTAGCCTGACTCTGTGGGCTCTACCCTCACAGCGCTGCTGACTTCCAGAGTCAACAGCTGGACCAGGCTCTCAATGGTGAAACTGTGTAACACTTTCTTGTCGACTAAGGGCTGGGCTGGGGCTGGGGCTGGAGCTCCATTGGTGTAACTCATGCCTCGCATGCATGAAGCTTCATGTTTGATCCCCAGCCCCACATAAACTGGGTGTTGGACACACACTTGTGATCCTGTCACTCCATAGGCAGAGGTGGAGGAAGAAAGATCAAAAGTTAAAAAAAATTGGCTACTTGAGTTCAAGGCCGTCCGGGGGTCACATGAGACCTTGTCTCAAAAATAAAGGAAGAGCCATGAGATGGCTCAGTCGCTAAAGGGACTTGCTGCCAAGTCTGATAGATGACCTGAATTCGCTTCTGCGGACCCACATAGTGAAAGGAGAGGACCAGCTCCCAGAACATATCCTCTCCTCCAAACTCACACCATTTCACAAACACATTGAATAATAAAAATGTAAAAAAAAGAAAAATAATAAGAGGGGAGGAAGGCTGCCTAGGCTGCATCAGTCTCCTTTTCTTACTAGAAGACCCAGGGAATTAAGTGATTTGGCCTCCGCCTCCAGCACAGCCTAGCTTTGACTATAATGTAAACATCTGCTGCCCCCTGGTGGTCATTACAGGCTCTGTCCCAACCTGGAGCGTGGGCTCTTGGACATATCTGGGTCTGAAGTATTGTAGCTTATGACCTCTCTTTTCAAGACGCTTTGCACCATTTACTGTGTGGAGTCCTCCCTACAGTTCTGAGAGATCAAGGGAGCAGATGATCCAATTCCCACTTTACAAGTGAGTGGCAGCATCAGAATGCTCCAGCCCACCCTTATCTGAGCTTGGCAATCAACCCCCAACTGCCAGCCTCAGTTACCTTTCTGTTCAATAGGAGTGCACAAGACAACAGAATGGGCTCTTCCATGTGCCCAGATTCCAGAGTTAAGATCTCACTAGCCTGATATAAGAGTGTATCAGGACAGAGACACTCCCATGATGCATTTCCCAATGCAGATCAGAAAAGAAGTGTCACAGCAAACATGAAAACTAGTCCCTCCACCTCTGTGCTCTGTGTTGAAGGATCACATGCATGGGTGGATAGGTGTGTGAGTGCATAGACAGACTGGAAAGTGGCTAGCTGGATGAATAGGGTGGGTATGGGTGGACGGATAGGCAGATGCGTGGACAGGTGGGTGGACGGATAGGCGGATGCGTGGACAGGTGGGTGGATGGTGTAGGAGGATGCGTGGACAGGTGGGTGGATGGTGTAGGAGGATGCGTGGACAGGTGGGTGGATGGTGTAGGAGGATGCGTGGACAGGTGGGTGGATGGTGTAGGAGGATGTGTGGACAGGTGGGTGGATGGTGTAGGAGGATGCGTGGACAGGTGGGTGGATGGTGTAGGAGGATGTGTGGACAGGTGGGTGGATGGTGTAGGCGGATGTGTGGACAGGTGGGTGGATGGTGTAGGAGGATGCGTGGATAGGTGGGTGGATGGTGTAGGAGGATGCGTGGACAGGTGGGTGGATGGTGTAGGAGGATGCGTGGACAGGTGGGTGGATGGTGTAGGAGGATGCGTGGACAGGTGGGTGGATGGTGTAGGAGGATGTGTGGACAGGTGGGTGGACGGATAGGCGGATGCGTGGACAGGTGGGTGGACGGATAGGCGGATGCGTGGACAGGTGGGTGGACGGATAGGCGGATGCGTGGACAGGTGGGTGGATGGTGTAGGAGGATGCATGGATAGGTGGGTGGACGGATAGGCGGATGCGTGGACAGGTGGGTGGACGGATAGGCGGATGCGTGGACAGGTGGGTGGACGGATAGGCGGATGCGTGGACAGGTGGGTGGATGGTGTAGGAGGATGCATGGATAGGTGGGTGGACGGATAGGCGGATGCGTGGACAGGTGGGTGGACGGATAGGCGGATGCGTGGACAGGTGGGTGGATGGTGTAGGAGGATGCATGGATAGGTGGGTGGACGGATAGGCGGATGCGTGGACAGGTGGGTGGATGGTGTAGGAGGTTCTTCTGTTTATGTATTGCTTTCACTGGTTGAATAAAGAAACTGCTTTGGCCTTTTGATAGGCAGAATTTAGGTAGGCACAGAGAAGACAGAACTGAATGCTGGGAAGAAGGGCAGAGTGGAAGACGCCATGGATCTCCTGCTTGAGACGGATGTTGGTTAGAATCTTGCCGGTAAGCCACAGTCACATGGTGATACACAAATTAATAGAAATGGGTTAAATTAAGATGTAAGAATTAGGGGGCTGGAGAGATGGCTCAGTGGTTAAAAGCATTGCCTGCTCTTCCAAAGGTCCTGAGTTCAATTCCTGGCAACCACATGGTGGCTCACAACCATCTGTAATGAGATCTGGTGCACTCTTCTGGCCTGCAGGCATACACACGGACAGAATATTGTATACATAATAAATAAATATTAAAAAAAGATGTAAGAATTAGCCAATAAGAAACTAGAACTATCACAGCTCAAAGGCCCAGAAAATATTTTGAACAAAATTATGGAAGAAAACTTTCCCAACTTAAAGAAAGATATTTCTTTGAATATTCAAGAAGCATACAGAACACCAAACAGACTGGATCAAAGGAAAACATCCCCTCGCCATATAATAATCAAAACACAAAATATACAGGTTAAAGAAAGAATACTAAGAGCTGCAAAGGAAAAAGGCCAAGTAACTTATAAAGGTAAACCGATCAGACTTACACCTGATTTCTCTATGGAAACAATGAAAGCCAGAAGGTCCTGGATAGAAGTACTGCAGAAGCTAAGAGACCATGGATGCAAGCCCAGACTACTATACCCAGCCAAGCTTTCGTTCACTATAAATGGAGAAACCAAGACATTCCAGGATAAGAACAAATTTAAACAATACGTAGCCACGAATCCAGCCCTACAGAAAGTAATAGAAGGAAAACCGCAACCCAAGGAATCCAACATTGCCAACACTGCCTACAATAACTCAGGCATCTAGCGACCCTTCACTAGCACAACTCAAAGAAGGGAGACACACAAATTCTACTTCCAAAAACAGTAAGAATATCTGGCATGAACAACCACTGGTCATTAATATCACTTAATATTAATGGTCTCAATTCACCTATAAAAAGGCACAGGCTAAGAGATTGGATACAAAAACAGGATCCAACATTCTGCTGTTTGCAAGAAACACATCTCAACCACAAAGACAGGCATCTACTCAGAGTAAAGGGTTGGGAAAAGGTCTTTCAAGCAAATGGTCCTAAGAAAAAAGCAGGTGTGGCCATATTAATTTCTAACAAAACTGACTTCAAACTAAAATCAATCAGAAGAGATCGAGATGGACACTTTATACTCATAACAGGAACAATTTGTCAGGATGATGTCTCAATCCTGAATATTTACACCCCTAATATAAAAGCACCCATGTATGTAAAAGAAATATTACTAAAACTCAAGGCAGATATCAAACCACACACACTAGTAGTAGGAGACTTCAATACACCTCTCTCAGCAATGGACAGGTCAATCAGACAGAAACCTAATAGAGAAGTAAGAGAACTACTGGAGGTAATGAAGCAAACGGACTTAACAGACATCTATAGAACATTCTACCCAAATAGGAAAGAATATACCTTCTTCTCTGCAGCCCATGGAACCTTCTCGAAAATTGACCACATACTCGGAAACAAAGGAAACCTCCACAGATACAAAAAAATATCAGTGTCCACCTGCGTCTTATCAGATCACCACGGATTAAAGTTAGAATTCAACAACAATCCTACCTCCAGAAAGTCGACAAACTCATGGAAACTGAACAGTCAACTACTGAACCACACCTGGGTTAAGGAAGAAATCAAGAAAGAAATTAAAGTCTTCCTGGAATTCAATGAAAATAGAGAAACAACATACTCAAACTTATGGGACACTATGAAAGCAGTGCTAAGAGGAAAGTTCATAGCACTAAGTTGCCCACTTAAAGAAAACAGAGAAAGCATACATCGGAGACTTAACAGCACACCTGAAAGCTTTAGAAAAAAAAGAAGCAGACACGCCCAGGAGGAGCAGAAGACTGGAAATAATCAAACTGAGGGCTGAAATCAACAAAATAGAAACGCAGAAAACAGTCCAAAGAATCAATGAAACAAAAAGTTGGTTCTTGGGGAAAATCAACAAGATCGACAAACCCCTATCCAAACTAATTAAACGACAGAGAGAGAACACGCAAATAAATAAGATCAGAAATGAAAAGGGGGACATAACCACAGATACAGAGGAAATTCAGAGACTCATTAGATCTTACTACAAAAGCCTGTATGCCGCAAAACTAGAAAATGCAAAAGAAATGGACATGTTTTTAGATAAGTGCCACATACCAAAGCTAAACCAAAACCAGGTGAACGATCTAAATAGACCTGTTAGTCGCGAAGAACTAGAAACCGTTATCAAAAATCTACCTTCCAAAAAAAGCCCAGGACCAGATGGTTTCAATGCAGAATTCTACCAGAACTTCCAAGAAGAGCTAATACCTATACTCCTTAATGTATTTCACAATATAGAAACAGAAGAGTCATTGCATAATTCCTTTTATGAAGCTACAGTTACCCTGATACCAAAACCACACAAAGACCCAACCAAGAAAGAAAATTACAGGCCTATCTCACTCATGAATATCGACGCAAAAATTCTCAATAAAATACTGGCAAACCGAATCCAAGAACACATTAGAAAAATTATCCATTATGATCAAGTAGGCTTCATTCCTGAGATGCAGGGCTGGTTCAACATACGCAAATCTATCAATGTAATCCAGCATATAAATCAACTGAAAGAAAAAAACCATATGATCATTTCATTAGATGCTGAAAAAGCATTTGACAAAATTCAACACCCCTTTATGATAAAAGTCTTGGAGAGATTAGGGATACAAGGGTCATACCTAAATATAATAAAAGCTATTTACAGCAAGCCGTCAGCTAACATTAAATTAAATGGAGAAAAACTCAAAGCCATCCCACTAAAATCAGGAACACGACAAGGATGTCCACTCTCTCCATACCTCTTCAATATTGTGCTTGAAGTTCTAGCAATAGCAATAAGACAACATAAAGGGATCAAGGGGATTCATATCGGAAAAGAAGAAGTTAAGCTCTCGTTATTTGCAGATGATATAATAGTATACATAAGCGACCCCAAAAACTCTACCAAAGAACTCTTACAGCTGATAAACACCTTTAGTAATGTGGCAGGATACAAGATCAACTCCAAAAAATCAGTGGCCTTCCTATACACTAAGGATAAAGAAACAGAGAGGGAAATTAGAGAAGCATCACCTTTCACGATAGCCACAAATAGCATAAAATATCTTGGGGTAACTCTGACCAAGGATGTGAAAGATCTATTTGACAAGAACTTTAAGTCTTTGAAGAAAGAAATTGAAGAGGACACCAGAAAATGGAAAGATCTTCCTTGCTCCTGGATTGGGAGGATCAACACAGTAAAAATGGCAATTCTACCAAAAGCAATCTATAGATTCAATGCAATCCCCATCAAAATCCCATCAAAATTCTTCACAGATCTGGAGAAGACAATAATCAACTTTATATGGAAAAACAAAAAACCCAGGATAGCCAAAACAATCTTATACAACAAAGGAGCGTCTGGAGGCATTACCATCCCTGACTTCAAACTCTACTACAGAGCTACAGTATTGAAAACAGCTTGGTATTGGCATAAAAACAGAGAAGTCGACCAATGGAATCGAATAGAAGACCCTGACATTAACCCACAAACCTATGAACACCTGATTTTCGATAAAGGAGCTAAAAGTATACAATGGAAAAAAGAGAGCATCTTCAACAAATTGTGCTGGCAAAACTGGATGTCAACCTGTAGAAGAATGAAAATAGATCCATATCTATCACCATGCACAAAACTCAAGTCCAAATGGATTAAAGACCTCAATATCAGTCTGAACACACTGAACCTGATAGAAGAGAAAGTGGGAAGTACTCTACAACACATGGGCACAGGAGACCACTTCTTACATAGAACCCCAGCAGCACAGACATTAAGGACCTCACTGAATAAATGGGACCTCCTGAGACTGAGAAGCTTCTGTAAAGCAAAGGACACTGTCGCTAAGACACAAAGGCAACCCACTAACTGGGAGAAGATCTTCACCAACCACGCAACTGACAAAGGTCTGATCTCCAAAATATATAAAGAACTCAAGAAACTAGACCGTAAAAGGCTAACCAACCCAATTATAAAATGGGGCATTGGGCTGAACAGAGAATTCTCAACAGAAGAACTTCAAATGGCCAAAAGACACTTAAGGTCATGCTCAACTTCCTTAGCGATCAGGGAAATGCAAATCAAGACAACTTTAAGATACCATCTTACACCTGTCAGAATGGCGAAAATCAAAAACACCAATGATAGCCTTTGTTGGAGAGGTTGTGGAGAAAGGGGTACACTCATCCATTGCTGGTGGGAATGCAAACTTGTGCAACCACTATGGAAAGCAGTATGGCGGTTTCTCAGGAAATTCGGGATCAACTTACCCCTGGACCCCGCAATACCACTCTTGGGAATATACCCAAGAGAGGCCTTATCATACAACAAAAGTGTATGCTCTACTATGTTCATAGCAGCATTGTTTGTGATAGCCAGAACCTGGAAACAACCTAGATGCCCTTCAATGGAAGAATGGATGAAGAAAGTATGGAATATATACATATTAGAGTATTACTCAGCAGTAAGAAACAAGGACTTCTTGAATTTTGCATACAAATGGATGGAAATAGAAAACACTATCCTGAGTGAGGTAAGCCAGACACAAAAAGAGGAACATGGGATGTACTCACTCATATTTGGTTTCTAGCCATAAACCAAGGACATTGAGCCTATAATTAGTGATCCTAGAGAAGCTAAATAAGGAGAACCCAAAGAAAAACATATAGG